TCTCTTTCCCTAGTTTTCAGTCTCTTCTACAAGGAGCCTGGTAGCACCCAGGATCTATAGTCAATGTAAAATTTTTCTCAACATAATATATTCCCACCACAGTGATCAGAAAGTTAGACACAAAATTCAAGACTTTCCAATTACGAATTTCTGTGCTCTACTATTCAGAGTCAAAGGCAGAAAGCAAGCGGTAAGAAGAGCATAACCATGAAGGCCTCAGCCATGTAAACGTGCCAACAATCAGAATTTCAGGTAGAGCAGAAATACCAAAAGACAGGGCAGAAAAATAAGTTCAAAAATTATTGCAAAGAAAGGGTCGCGGGCAGTCACGCAAAAGCTGAAAGGTAGCACACGCAGCACTTAGTAAAATCGACTGTCGACAATAAAACAATCTACTACAAAGAAGTGAATGAACCCAGGGCCAAAGAAAGCACTCCACTTGGCCAGGTCGCTTCCTTTCCAGTCAGTGCTGAGTGTCCCTGGCTTAGAGGGTAATAGGCGATGATAATTGAAAACAGCTGGCTGGCAGAGCAAGCGGCAGCCAGAAGAAAGCACTTGGCAAAAGCGCTTTTCTGACACTTGCACTAAGTCACGGTGCATTAGAGTTATCATTAATCAGCAGCAGCAGCAGCAGCGCTAATGGCAACTTCTCCCCCTCCCTTGGATTTAATTCAGAGAACCATTAACATCTACAGCACAAAAAGCAAGGAAAAGTGAGTTATTCACATAATTCCCATTAAAGGCACTTTGAACTGAATGCCTGATATGGGTGAGAATCTAGGTGGGTTTGCTGGTCTTTGAAACTCATCCAGAAACCCGCCTCTCTCATCCTGGCCCTGACTCTCGAGAGAGGATGCAGCTGTAGATGACGTCATGACTCTTTCAGGAATGCAAAGCGCCCTTACACCACAACAGAGGGGAATTCACTGAGCAGAAATACCGAGAAATCTGTCATCAGTGACTTGGCAGAACTGCACGAGGTAAAATCTTCACGTGAATTAGCCGGCAGGATCTGATTACATACTAACATTGTTCCTGATTAGTGCCCCAGTATTTCAGCACCTTGAGGACCAATAAATTCCAATCATCCAACAATAAATTGAGTGTTTCAATGAGAAAAAAAAAAAATACCTGGAAACCTACTAAGTCCCTTATATATTTATCAAAGCTGATCAAAATGTAAATTAAATTTATTTTATTTTATTTTAATTAATGTGCATGTATTTTTGCTGGAGAAAAAATTCATATATGATGTTAATTTTGGGGAATTTTATGTACATATCTATCCATCTGGATCAGTTTCATGCCCTTTACCTGCCTCTTTCTTACCACACCTCTCTCCCTGGTGTTGTTCCACATCTCTAAAATATCTGCTTTCTTCTTTCTTATCATATCTTTTTATTTTACTCATCCTTTTCCTTGTATTTCAGGTGTTTTATATTCTAGAGGTCATCAAAATCTACAGTGAATGTTCAAATAAAACTTGATTACTATAAAAGAGACATTGTGATTAACCTTCCTCAGAATATTCCTTCCTCCCTTCAGGCATCTCCATCCCATCATTTTTTACCACTTTGTGGAGCAGTTCGGGAAGTCCTCTTTCCTGAGTCTCTTCATGCAGTGAGCAAATGTATGGTGAATGCTGCGTGCAACTGCCCGCAGAGGAAAGGCAGGCTCGTAAAAACATCATGTTGTATTCCCATCCACCTTATTCATTAGATCTTTCACCCGGCAACTGTAGCTCCTCCCCAAAGTCAAAATGATCATGAAAAGTAAATAAATTCAGGACGCTGAGGCAGCCACAGCAGTGCAACCAAGACACTCACAAAAGAGGATTTCTAGAAGTGCCCCAATGGAGCGGGCTGAATGGCAAGTTTGTTCCAAGACAGGGGAAATATTGTGAGGGGAATTAGTGGCACTGTCTTTTATTGTGCCAATTTTTAAATATAAGAATTCACCAATTTTTTTAATCAAACTTCAAGGGTGCAATATGATATTTAATTTTGTGAAAATGCTCATGCATGTCAGGAAAAACGAAACATTCAGCAGAGAAAATGGACAACCTACAGAAGCAGGGAAAATTGCCAGCTACTTTTCTACAGAGGACTAATATCTAGGTTATATAGAGTACTGATAAAATTAACACACCCAAAACAAATAGCCCAATCAAAAATGGGGAAAATGTACCCAATAGAAACTGCTCAAAAGAAGTACAAGTGGCCAATAAGTATGTGAACAAAATTCATATTTCCTGTCTTTAGAAAAATCAAGCCATCTGCATTTTAAAAGCTGTTCATTTTTGTTTTTCTGACAAGCCTACAATGATCATTTGGAACTATTTGGAGGACTATTTTTCTTTTTTATGTATTTATCACAAGGTCTACAGAGTCTCACTACACAGATTGGACTTGTAGTGATCCTCCTGTTTTCAGCCTCTCAAGTGCTGGGATTACAGGTGCCCAGTCCCCATGTCTGCCTAAGCAGGCACTTTAATCTGCTGAGCCATCTGGCTGGACTTCTTTGGAGGATTTTGAAGTGACTTAAACCCTTTTAATACTTAGAATTTTTAAAATACTTAGTAAAAACATAAAATCTCTGGCTATTTACTTACATTTCATTTTCTTTGCACAGTAGATCTGAGAGCACCAACTGAAACACATGTTTAGAACAATAAAAGGCAAACATCTCATCAGTATAATCCTTTAATACAAGCAGTGCCTAGAGACAATGTGGATTTACATCTTTTCATTTGTTTATTTTAATTAAAAGCTCTATAGCATATTTTATGGTTGCTGCAGTGTTTTAATTGAAAAATATTCTCTGGGTAGATTTTTAATTTTACCATTGACAAGAAATGTATATTGTGCATCATATTTCTATCTAACATTCCACTTTATGTAGATTTGCAAAGCATTTTTTTTTTGTTTTCTCTGTAGGCAGATTTTTGCTTACCCTAAAGAGTTTTTGTACATCTTGCACTTTCTATTATTTTCATATTTTTGGTAGAGGAAGGGTTTTCATTACCCACAAGAAATATTTTCATGTAAATGAAGCACATTCCCAGTATAAGAAAACAGAAATGAATCCTGTTTCCTAGGGATCTAGGCTCGAAGGGCTGAATGAAGGCATGAAGGATCCTTTCAAGATCACATGACACACAGGGGCCGGGGAGACGGCTCAGTAGAATAAGCGCTTGCCTGCAAGCACAAGGGTCTGAGTTTAATTCCTGGTTCTGACACACACACACACACACACACACACACACACACACACACACACACAGATCACATGACACTCTATTGAGAGTTACAGTGCTGTGACAAACAACAGGGGAAGCAACCTGTAAAGTCACAAACCCCAATTATTTTAACAAATTATCTTAATTGTCTGTGCTGACCCTTATAGGTTACAGCATCTCCCATCCACAACCACAGAAGGGAAAATATTTCTTGCTAGATACTTTATTTGTATTTCTTTGCTTGTTTTCACCTAGGAACCAGGAATCCTTCTGGGGGTAATGAGAAAACCCTTTAAATGCTTCCATTATGTAGCAATAAAAACTGGGTTGATGAGGTCAGTTGATGCATTTATGCTCCTGAACTATAACATATAACTACAAGTATGAAGTTGCAAAAAATCTAAAATGATAGACACTTCTACTGACTTTTTACTGAGAAATGCACTTTCTCCTTAATCCCCAGGGCATCTTCTTTAGCACCTTGTATTTATATCACCAAGTTTATCTGGGCAAAGAGATTTGTGTAGTTGCAGATAGAGCTAGGAATTGGCCATCAGAGAGCATGGTAATGAGCAATTTATAAGCTCAGAAAATGAGCTGCATTCTTTTATGCTAGAATGTTGCAAATAGATTTGCATACTAACAGAGGAAAATGAACACTCAAATTTTATCCATAAGGAAGTTTATGTATGAGTAGGTGAAGTCATGTGGGACTTAGCTTAACAGAAAAACAAATAAAGCCCACACTTTTCTTTCAGTTCAAATCCCAGTATTGTCTGCATGCTGAACCTCAGCATGAAATACAGCGTTTCACGATTACCACCTAACCGCTGATGCCATTGCTGCCAAGCTCCATCATTACTAAAAAATGGCAAGAGAAGTCTTAATATGGTTTGCGTCTGAATGTTTCAGATATATTGTACTGAAGCAACACAGACTTCAGGGCTGCAGCTTAGAAAAGAATGCTGGAGCAGAGGAAAGAAAAGAATTCCTCAAATGGTTCCGTCCACCTAAGTCAGCATTAAAAACCTCTCAGTGAGTCAAGTATGGTTTCAGGGAACAGTAAATATTGCTTAAATTAATTCAATCATAACACCTTGCCCTGTGTCAATAGCATTTTTGGTTTTCTAAAAAAGTTTCACAGCATAGCAAAGTGAAGTAAAGGTTAAATTTGCATCACATTATTTCAATAGCAACAGAATGATATGAAGAAGATATAAGGCTAATGTCATGGATATTTTGTTTTGAATATTGCTGACCAATAATTAGAATAGGTCATAAAATGCTGGGAACACCTTCTTAAAACCAATCTTTCAGGTGTAGGAGTAGCGACGAGTTATGATGCACATGAAACAAATCCATAACAAATCAAGTTCTCAGAGTATTTCAGACAATCTCCCAGCAAGAACCATGGTTACCTGGAATAGCTGAAAACACCAGGTCCTTGTTGTTGAGTTCACTAAGGCGACACTGAATGGTCTGAGTCCTACTCGGCTCATGAGGTGCTTGCTGAACCTAACAAGCTCTGGTTTTCTCAGGACTTGTTAACTTTCCTGTCTCCTGCTTCCTACCAGAACATGCATTCACGATGGTCCTTGTGACTGGTGAGTAGCACAAGCTAGGAAAAGAATGTCACTGCATGCTCACGGGCACTAGCAGTCCAAGGAATTTCAGGGTAAGGTCAGAATGCTCAGGACTGTTTGTTGAAGCTTTGTCAAGTAGGGGTTATAAATGTTGACCGGCATAGCTGGCTGGCTGCTTAAGTCAATTTTAAAATTCAAGTGCATGATTTAAAAAAGCCTGTTGTTTTAATAGAATCTTACATGTAGAACATATGTTCAGTTTTCTACCCTTTAAGGATCCTCCTTGTTGTTTTGGTTCTAAGTGTTGCTTTTTATTCTCGGGTCTAAACCCGACTTAAGTTTACAATCATCCAAGTTTCGGCAATGTGGTAGGAAAGGATAGACACAGAGAAACATCCTTTCATATGCTATTGAGAAAATAGTGCTACTTCTTTGGAAGACGATTAGGAGATATCTATAAGACTAAAAATAAATGCTTTGTCCAAGAATTCTCTTTCTCAAAATATATCCACAGATATAGACTATTTATACCTACAAAGTTTACAAATATTCATATATAGTGATATTTACTGAAACCATAAAGCTCATCGAAATATAAATGGGTAAATGTAAAATAGTTATTTATGTCAGACTAGCCAAATAGCTCAGCGTATTAAAGCACCTGCAAGCAGGCACAAGAACTGGGGGTTTGGTCCTCAGGTCTGCCTTGCTGGCCCTGACCCTGGGGTGTGCTGAGATGGAAATTGACACTGAGCATCGTGGCACGTGCCTGTAATCCAAGCACTTGGAGGCTGTAAACAGACAGGTCGCTACGAATCTGATCTAGTAGTGAGACCCTGAATACCCTGTAGACCCGTCCCGAAAATCCAAAGAAAAGTTATTTATGTCAATTCAACAGGATATTTGGAAATCTCAGGGTGTTAATCTCAGAAATTTTTTTTTTGACAGAACAGAAACCTTTCTTTCTTTTTTATCATTTATTTATTTATTTGTCTGTATTTGGTACAGGATTTCACTATGCAGCTCAGACTCATATTGATTCCCCTGTTTTCAGCCACCCCAGCTCTGGGATTACAGGCATGCACCACAACGCCTGGTCTTGGAGGTCAGCTCAGCACACCTGGGGTTGGGGCCAGTGCAGCATATGGTGCCAAGGATCAAACCCCAGTCCCTGAACTTGCTTAAGCAGGTGCTTAGTCCACTGAGTTATCTAGCCAGCCCTTTCCTTTTTTTAAAAAAAAAAAAAGAATAAAAATAGTAAAAAACACAAGAAATGATATAGAATTTCATTAAGCTGTTTTTAAAGGGGAAGCAAATCATAGATGGTCATATGGCAATGGGAAAATGAGAGACAAAGGAAAAATTGTAAAACTATTTGTAATTTAATCATTTTATATTTTCAGGGGCAAATTCTAAAACCAAAGGGGTAAAATTTCAAAAAAGCATATTGTAATTTGAGTATAGTTCCCCAAATCCAAATCCAATGATGGTATATGAACCCATTTATGATCACATACATGGATTGCATTAGGAAGAAACAAGGCATATTAGTTAACTAAACTTCTGCTCTGAACAGGTCATTAAGGTATATGGATTACTTGGACTGCATCTGGACAGGCTAAGCAGGCTGTGTGGCGCTCACGTTCTGTTTAGTATGCAGCCACGGTCCCAGCCATGAATTTCAAAGCAGAGGAAGGGCTCTGTGCCAATGCCAATAGCTGAAAAGTAAACCAAGCCCACAGTATTATTTGTCCCTAAGACACCCTCCATTTTGAGTGTCTCTGAAGCTTGTAATTAAACAGAATGAAAAATAGGCTTTTCACTGGTGAACTTATTTATTAGTCGGTCAGAAGCCTGACTTCCGTCAGCGGAGTCAATGATCTTAAGAATTTCTGGGAAAGGAAGAGAAAGCCAGATGACTAGCAAAGAGATGAAAGGGAAATAAGGGCTTCATGTTTGGTTAAGTATTAGAAACCTGAACGAGGACCAAGCAGAAACGTGGACGAGATAATTCTCGTCGAAATGTACAAGTTCCTACAGCAGGTGGCTGACAGGAATGCGGCAACCAAGTGGAGACGGCTTCTATGCTCATAGAATTGCTGCAAATGGCATTATTATATTTGCTGTTGAAATAAAATTTATATTCATTTCTACATTTGTCTTGCCATTTACCCAGTTAGTTTTCTGACTTCCCAAACCACTTCCAAATGTTTTCTTGGTAGATTCTAACTAAGTAGTTCCTCTAGTACATTTTTTCCCTTGTATCAGGACATTTTGATGACCTTGGAAAAGACGCCTGACATGAGTGGTGTTTTACTTGCATGACATTTTTGTCTTTTCATTTTAAGATAACTATATATTGCTGCCTAGTATTAAACAGTATTAGAGACTATCTATCACCTTGATCCTGTTTTCCCTAAAGGTGGCTCCTTGCACATCCATTGTACCGTATCACAGTCAGAAAGTTGACCTTGGTACAATTCACAAGCCGCATGGTTTTTGTAATTTATACTTTATCATTTAAAGTTTTTTATGAAATATGTTCTCCAACCACGTGCTTCTATGCCAGCACTTGACAGTGAATGCTCATCCCAGGAAGGCCAACTTGAAGGCAGAGTTGTTCTCCTATTAGTAAGACCACTTAAGTCCATGGTGACTTTGTGTGGTTGAATATAGGCATCAGTGGAAGAAAAAGAAATCTGAGAAAGAATCAGAGAAAATAAGGAAAGGAGATGAATTACGAAGAGATGTAAACTCAAATCCTGAGGTTTGCTTGACTGCATGGGTGCTGAGCCCCATAGAGCGAGAGCGCTTTACGTGTCCCTGTT